GGTTCTATGGGTGTGTCCTATTCATGTGTAGCGCAGAGGTGAGCCGAGAATTTGTTTTTTTCACACACATAATGTAATGAAAGATTCTCTCCATGCTCGGCACCTGGGGACTTGTTTATTCATCATCCCCCCACCCCCCCTGAAAACCTGGTCTCTCTAGTTTATAGAGTGACAAAAGAAAAATAATGCTGTTTCCTTTTACACTTTATAGAAACAGGGGTCTCGTTTCCTGGTTTCTCTGTCCAGAAATTCAGGTATTTTCTCATGTTTTTAGGTAACCAAGGAGTGCAATCTGAATGAGGCCGGCCTAGGAACACGGAGGACTATTTTTTTAGGCTGCTCTCTGTAGTTGTTTTGCTTTGCTTCACAGCAAGACCGAGGATCAGTCTGCCCTTACGTCAAAGCTAGAGCACAGAAGAGGGAAAAAACCCTGTGAAATTCATCTTGGTTACATATTATTACCCATGTTTTTATTTCCGTTCTCAGTTGCTGGCTGTGTTGTTTACTTTCCAGGGTACTCATTTACACGCTTCTATATTTTAAAAATTCTTGTCTAGTGATTTAACGTAATCAGTGAGAGACTATAGTGAGCTCATTCGTCATAGCTGACATGAGAAACAAAATGAAGAGTTTTGATCATTTAATATAGTAACTGAACTATCTATAGAGAAAATTCTGGGGGGATAAATGATGAGGTTTCTCATTTCATATTTCTGCATAGAAAATTTCCTTATTTTATAAAAAGTGGTGAAGTTTCAGTTTCAAACAAACATGATGTTTCATTTCCACTTAAAAGTATAGTTATATAATTATAAATACATATAAATGTGCATGAAATTACACTTACACATACTAATAAAAGTCATCATATAGTACACAAAAACCAATATAGAGGTACATATAAGGAACATCTTAGGAGCTTTTAGACTGTTTCTTGTTGCTAAGTTCCATCTTGCTGCTAAATACTGTTCGCACACAGAAGAATGAAAGCAGTGGCCCATCCTAGCAATTGTTTCTGTACTTGAGTCCATGCTTGCAGCTACTTGTCAACCCATCTCCTCAGGACCCGTCCTCTTTTTTGCTGCTCTACTTTACCAAGCATGGGGTCCTCTAGGGACACGGCTCTCCTGACATGTCCGAAGTATGCTAGGCGAAACCTCACCATCCTTGCCTCAAAGGAGCACTCTGGCTATAATTCTCCCAAGACAGATTTATTTGTCCATTGGGCAGTCCAGGGTGCTTTCAGTACTGTTCTCCAGGATTCAAATACATCAATTCTTCTTCAGTCTTCCTTATTCAATGTCCAATTTACACATACATATGAGGCAACTGAAAACACCACGGCTAGGGTCAAGTGCACATTAGTCCTTAAAGTTAACATCCCTGCTTTTCAATCCTCTTAAAATGTCCGGGGCAGCAGTTTTACCCAATGCAATGTGTCATTTGATTTCTTGACTGCTGCTACCATAAGCATTGATTGTGGGCCGAAGGGAGACAAAATCCTTGATGACTTTAATATTTTCTCTGCTTATCATGATGCTACTTGTCCAGCTGTGAAAGGTTATTTTTGTTTTGTTTTGTTTACAGTGACTTGCACTCCATTGAAATGCTGCAATCCTTGCTCTTTCCCAGCAGGTACTTCAAGTCCTACTCACATTTAGCAAGCAAGGTTGGTCATCTGTCCATCGTAGGTTGTAAATCCTCCAATCCTGATGCCATATTCTTCTTCATAAAGTCCAGTTTCTCTATTTGCTCAGCATAGATTGAATAAACATGGTGAGATACAACCCTGATGCATACCTTTCCTGATTGAAAACCACAGTGTGCCCTTCTTCTGTTCACACAACTGTCTATTGATCCGTATACAATTTCCACATAAGTCACAATGAAGTGGACTGGAATCCCTTTAGAATTCTTCTAAAGGCTATCCATAATTTGTGTGATCTATATAGTTGAATGCCTTTGTATAGTCAATAAAACTAAAGTAAATATCTTTCTGGTATTCTCTGGTTTCAGCCAAGATCCATCTGAAGCCAGCCATGGTATCTCGTTCTACTGCCTTTTCTGAATCCAGCCTGAACCTCAGGCAGCTCCCTATAAATGTACTGCTACCACTGTTGTTGGATGATCTTCAGCAAAGTTTCACTGCATGTGATATCAATGATATAATGTGAGCATTCTATTGGATTAGCTTTCCTTAGAATGAGTACAAATATGGAACTCTTCCAGACAGTTGACCAAGCAGCTGGTGCAATCCCCTCTCGATCTGCTGAAACAAATGCCTCATAGTCTATGTACAATTTCTACATAAGCATACTGAAGTGTTCCGTAATTCCCATTCATCTCGATTCTATCCATAGTTTATTATGATCCATACAATCCAATGCCTTGGCATAGTTAATGAAAGTAAACACCTTTATGGTATTTTCTGCTTTCAGACAAGAGTCATCTGATGTTAACAATGATATCCCTCATTGCCATGTCCTCTTCTGAATCCAGCTTGAATATCTGGCGGCTTCCTATTGATGTACTGCTGAAATAACTTTTTGAAAATCTTCAGCAACATTTTACTTGCATGAGGTATTAGTGATACTGTTTAATACTTTCTGCAGTCTGTTGTACCCCCTTTCCTTGGCATTAGCACCACTATGGAACTTTTCCATGTGAGTTGGTCAGGTTAAGCTGCCTTCCAAGTTTCTTGGCTGAGATGCGTGAATGCTTCCAGTGCTTCATCTGTTACTTGGAACACTTCCACTGGTGTTCTGTCAGCTCCTGGAGTGGTCTTGTTTCTCATCAACGCCTTCAGAGCAACTTAAGATTTCTTCCTTTGGGACAGTTTTTACTTATGTACTACAACCTGAAATGATTGAACGATGGCCAATTCTTCTGGGTATAGTGACTCTAGGTATTTCTTTTTCTATCTTCTTTTCATATTTCTGTTATTCAATATTTAGACCACAGAATCTTTCAATATTACTTGGTAGCATTTTAGAATATAAATGTTCTTTATATATTAAATTGATGAAAATTTTTGAAATCTTATGCTAGAGTTAAGTATTGATGACCAATCATGAAATGGAAACTTTAAACACTATCATGTAAAGACCGTAACAACCACTGTAGAGGCTATGTGGCCATTATCAAGCCAAATATATATGAGGGGGTACCCCCCAAAAAAACCCAGACTTTTTTTTCAAAGCTATGTATTAAAATTTGTTTTATAAAACAGGCTTATCACCTTCAAAGTACTCTCCATTACACTTAATACATTTGTCAAATATGCGATTCCATTCTTGGAAACATTTTTCAAAGTCACCTTTTCTACATTATCAAATGGCAGTCCTTTCATGTCCCTCTTCATTCACGGAAACAAAAAGAAGTTGTTCCAAATGAGGTCGGGTGAGTAAGGTGCATGGGGAAAGAGAGGCATGCTGTTTTTTGCCAAAAACTGGCACACTAAGATGGTGGCATGAACAGGTGCATTGTCTTGATAGTAAAACCAGTCCCCCTGTCTGCCACAAACTAGGACTTTTGTGTTGCACACTGTTATGCAATATTTTCAGAACCTCTAAGTAGAAAGCTTGATTAATAGTCTGACCTAGTAGACGAAACTCCAAACGCACTCTACCCCTCACGTCAAAAAAATAAATGAGTATCATCTTGATCTTTGATTTCATTTGATGAGATTTTTTGGGCGAAGTGATGATGGCGTTTGGCTGGATTAATGTTTGCTTTCAGGCTTGTAAGAATAGCACCATGTCTTGTCACCAGTAATAACCTTGGGGAAAAAGTCTCGGTCACTTCTGAGCTTTTCTTTCCATGCATGGCATGTTTCCACTTGACGCTCTTTTTCCTGGTCAGTCAGAACCCGAGGCACAAATTTTATAGCAACCCTTGTCATTCCCAAATTTTCCATGAAAATTTGTTGAACCAAGCTTCAAGCTAGTCCCTGATAACCTTCCCACCTCTTCAATGATCTGTTGCTGGTCTTTGGGCACAAGTGCATTAATTTTGTCAACATTTCGCCCATTTGGAAGTTGATGGATATCCAGAATGAGGTTTGCCATCGAGTGACATTTCACCTTTTATGAAATGAGAAAACCACTGTACACTTGAGTTTTCCCATAGCACTGTACTTGTAAGCTGTGTTCAACATCACAATAGTTTCTGTGGCATTTTTCAGGAGGAGGAAACAAAATTTCACAGCTATACACAGTTTCCTTAAAACAGCCATCATAAAAAACCAGGTTTGAGAGAAGCTGCTTTTACAAAAATTCAGTGACCAGCGAGAACCTTCCCAGGCAAGCCACTGGGTGCACTAACTCAGAGCGCGTTGCTAGATGCCTGCCTGGCGGGAAAAATGCAAACTATAAAAGCTATGCTTTACCCAGTGCAATTCTGGTTTTGGGGGGGTACCCCCTAGAATTTTAACACTCAATAATTTCATTTCTCATAGATATTCACTCTATGATGCCCCAGTGAAGTTTTCAATAAAGAAAAAAATTAAAAACTAGCAATAATGAACGGGATTTGGGAAATGAATAAAAGCAATGCAATAATGTCATAATAAAATACTATTGCAGTAATTAAAAAATATATATGTCACTTGGGTAGATTTCAAAGCATAATAGTGATAGAATATTGTTAAGTATCATTTATATATATGCTCCCAATATACAGAAAATATTTTATTTACAGGAGCTTCAAAAAGTTCATGGGGGGGAAAAAAATCCCATATCTCTTAATTCCATTTTCCATGAACTCTTTTAATCTCCTTCATACATATCTCTGAACAACATAGTGAAGGTACTCAAAATGTATTAAAAAACATAAGCATTAAATTCAGGGTAGCTGTTATCTTTGAGAATTAAGCTAACAAAGTATTTATCATAAACATTTCCCATATAACTACGACAGTGGATTATTTCCTTTAATTCGTTCATTTCTAACATATATAGTGAATAAATAAAATGTACAACTCCTAAAATAAACCAACTAACCTGTATGTGTTCTCCTATGTCTCTGAAGCTCATCACTCCTTGTGAATCTTTTGCCACAAAACATCCAGTTGCATACAAAAGGCCTTTCTCCAGTATGCCAGCGAAGGTGTGCTCGTAGGTGAGATGTTTTGCCATACACTTTTCCACATCCTTCAATATGACAAATATGTTGTTTCTTTTTTCCTGGTTCATTACTGCCTCTAATAAAAACCAAAATGAAACATTAATTACATTCTCAAATACCAAGCTATAAATATGGAAAAATATGTTATCAAGGTAGCTAAAGATACTTTTCTAGGTAACTATTTAAAAATGTTGCCCAAATATAAATAAAAGAAACTTTTTCAATAATAAAACTGTCATGAAAATATGTTAAATCTTAGGGAGTTCATTATCTACCCTGTAAAGTCAATTTCGTTCTCTAGTAGTATAAGCCAACCTGATTATCAGCCAAGGCACCTAATTTTACCACAAAAACGGCATTAAAACGTGCTGAAAAGCTCAGCTTATACTCGAATATATATGGTATTCAAGACCTCAAAAATTCCTTTCTGATGAATATTGCTGTATATACAATCCTGCACTAAGAGTGATATATGGGAAAATGCTTGGACAGACACACAGATTGATCGAATATGTACGTTTGACAGAAGACACACAGATCTTTTACTTTTGCTGAAAATATATCCACAAACATGGTGGAGCATATAGAGGGTAACGCTATGAAAACTTTTTAGACATAAACACCCTGAGGGAGTGAACCACGGAGTCTGGGGCTAAAGACATTAGTCTTGGAGGACAGACACTAAGTCTAACTGGTATACCATAATCCATAAACAAAATGTTTTACATTTGCTTTGCTGTGTAGCACTTGTGGTCTTAAGAGTTTGTGAGGTGTTTTCTAATGTGTAATTACAGGTCTCTGTCTGGAGGAAAACAGAATAATGACAATTGAAGACACATGGAAATAATTAGTTCAATGGCCTAAAGAGCCACGTGAGGGTCAGGTTCTCGAGACTCTGCAATCAGAAGAACCAGATGTTACAGATGCTGTAACTACCCATAGCTTTCAAAGGGATCACAATTAGAAGGTCATGGGAAAAGTAATGGGACAATAAATATCATAATCATACAAAAGACCAGGCTTACAGATGGAAACCTGTGAAACTCTTGAGTTTATGGCCCTTAGTGACCCTTCAGTCTGGAACTGATCTCAGCTCCACAGCTTAATTTTCAGTCATAAAAGGAACAGTAACAGTAGTGAGGTACGCTCACCTTAGAATAATCAATCCTGTGAGATTAAAAGGGCAGCATTTATATGAGAACAACATTCATAACAGTTAAGAAAGACAGAAATAGAAACTGGAAACACAGGGAAAAGATGGGAAAAGTAAATTTTACATTGTGGGAATTGCAATCAATGAGATGAGGTATGACAATGTGTGTATGAATTGAGTGGAAAACTAATTTGCCCTGTAAATCTTCACCCAATTCACAATAAAAAGTTTTCAAAATTATGTTTGAAATCACCAAAAGCATATTAATCCCCAGTTAAATGCAAAGGGTATAAAGTTTAATTTTTTACATTCCAGTTTGAGGTATTCCACGAACCTACTATCCACAGAAAACGGTGGGTGGAAATTTAAACACACACATACATACATTACGTACATATACCAAATATATGTGAAATCTTACATATGTATAAGAAATCATATATATATCCCCCCCCTTTGGAAATGATCTTAAAGGATATGGCAAGTAAGGAAGTGTTTATTCCATTTTGAATTTTTTTCTGTATATGAAATCCAGAATAGGTACATCTATAGATACAATAACTGGATTAATAATTACCTAGAGGCATGGCAGGGGAGGTTGGGAAGAAACGGGGAGCTAACAACAATGAGTATGAGAAGAAACTTTTGCAATTCATTGTGTTAACAAGGGTGCAACTCTTATTAATATGCTTGAACTATTAAATTGTATGATACATGAATTATGTGCCAATAAAAATATATAAAAATGAATATTTAGTGAAACCAGCAAATCTGTGGTTATTTGAACCAAGACACCACCCCTCCCTTCCAGCTTCCTGAGATACAACCTGTACCGTGCTCCAAAATCACTAGGCTCCCTTCTCCAAGTTCCCAGTTGGAGTGCTACCTTCCCAGGAGGGGCATAATGTCGGCATTTCTGCATCCTAACTCTAGCTACCTGTTCCTGAGGTCAAGTTCTGGAGCAGTGAGGTCAAACGTTTCTTTCATCCAGCCTTCGGTAATGGTAAGGAAGGTCAATCTTGGATGTGGTGCCCTGAGACTACTAGAACTTAGATCATCTCCATTACTGTTGTGGGCTGTTGAGTAGACTGCAGTTCATAGTGACCTTTAAGGACAGAGTAGAACTGCCCTGTAAAGTCTTCTAGACAGTTTCTCAGGTGTTTTCTCCGTTGGAGAAGCTGGTGGATTTGAATGGCTGCCCTTTCAGATAGCAGATAGATACTTTCCCACTAGGATACTTTCTCGCTCATGAATAGTTCATAAATCAGAAGTTTCAAGCCAGGAAAGGCAAACCAAAAGCATCTGAGGCATCTAACAAGCATTCATCTCATGAGACTGTTGTCACACGGAGAAATGCTTCATTATCTCACTCCCCAGCTCTAACGTCATGGCTCAGAGATTTCTGCATAGGTGGAGAAAACTAAAACCAAAACCAAATCAAGCTCCAATGAAGTCAATTCTGACTCATTAACAACTGTACAGAACAGGGTAGAACTGCCCCTTTGGGTTTCGGAGACTGTGAATCTTTATGGAAGCAGAAAGCCTCATCTTTCTCCCTGGGAGACACTGGTGGGTTTGAACTGCCCAATGTGTGACTCAGAAATTAGAAACTGTAAAGGGCAAGAAATGGGCTGGCATTTTTTATTTCCCTATCACCCATTTGTTTACCTCAGGACAGGTGAAGGGAAGGGTTATAGGATATTGGGCTGTGTGATATTTTCATGGCATTCCCTCCCTGTTGTAGAATTCTACTGGAGAAGCTGAAGGGGAGAACCAGGTAAACTGCTGGCCTTGCAGGCCATAAGACGAGAGGTCCAAATTTCTTCCCAAAAGAACTGCCTTCATTTGCAACCGAGTATGGGGAAATGCAAGCCTATAAACCCTTTTCAAAACAAAAGGGTATCAGGCAATTGGAAGAGGCAAGATAGATGACTGGAGAAGATAACCTGTGGCCACAGACACCCAGGGAAAGAGGAAGCTGTAAGCTCATCCTACAATCAGAACAAATCTCAAACCCCAACTTAAGAAATCATTCCTTTAAAATTGACTAAATATTATTGCGGTCATTCTGCTACCAATTCAATTGGTTTAGCCTGAGGAGCAACATATGCATCATGGCTTGTGTAAAGCAATAGAGCAACCAGCTAGTAATTATTGTGGTTAGAGAAAGAGACTATCAAAGACTTGCCAAAACTACTATCATTCCAAGGAAGACAGTGAGTATACCAAAAGTCTATGCAACATCAAATGCTTGAGTGTGTGAGAATTTATTTCATTGAAATAGTCCAGCTTCTAAATAAACAAGTGAACAACCAAGCAACATTAATAAGCCAGGGATCAGAGAAAGGAAAACAGACAAATAGAAAACAAACTCAACCCAATTGCCATCGAGTCTATTTCAACTCATGGTGACTCTACTAGGGAAAAAGGATAGGGAGAAGGTAAGGACCTAAACTAGCTGTATTATCCAACAGGTTATACAGTGGAATAAATGGGAGTGTGAAAGGGATCACCTGGTACAACCACTAGGGAAAATGGTATGGCACTTCCTTCCTCACAAAGCTAGAAATAGAACTATCATACGACTCCACAGCTCTAAGATTAGTGACATGACAAACAGATTAGGACAATCTAAATACTCATCAGCTGATGGATACCAAAAGCTCAAGTAGAAAGAAATTATTTTGGAAATGTTGATGGCAATATATGTACAAGAGTGCTCAATACTATTGAATGGTGGGTTGATATAAAATGATTAATTTTTTTTAAATGTGGTACATACATACAATGGTAAAGTAGATGAATCTGGAGAGTGTTGTACTAAGTAAAATAATTAAATAACAAAAGAACAGATATTATGACTGCACTTTTATAAGAAACGAATGGATATGAAGGGACTTTAAATAGTCCATGAAAAAAATTCAATTACGTTTAATTCCATTTTCCTACAAACTTTTTTATGCCCCCATACATATACAGAGAATAATGTTCACTGGTGGCTACAAGAGATGGAAGTTGAGGCTGGCAAATGGCAAGTACTCTCAAGATAGTAGACACTTGTTAGTTTGGGTGATGGGAAACATAGCATCAAATAGCTTCAAATGGGTGAGCTGCACGGATCTTGACCAAAGTAGATGAGGTCACAATTAAGTGTACAAGAGGAAAAAGTCTTTGGTAAAGGATATGACACATGTAATTTCAAAACAACTAAAAATATATAGGTATGGTAACACACAGGCATATAAGCATATGAATATGTGGAGAAATATAAGAAAACTTCAAGAAATATAAGAACAATTCCATCATCTTTTAATTGTTTTTCCACGAACTTTTTGAAGTCCTTCTCCGCAAGCACAGGTAGAAGTATTTATAGCTGTATGCATACAGGTATGTGGGTGCATGCACAGACATAAACATATATATATATATAAAATAAACCAAATCAGGGACCCTGAGAAGGATACTTCTTCGATACAAACAAATACCTTACAAGATTAGTTTTTGGGGTTTGAAGACTTAAGAGCAAAGCCTCAAGAGATAGTCAAGTTAAATGGAATAATATACTGCATACAGCACATTCTACAATCTAAGCCTCAAAGCTTGTGAGTGGTCATCTACAGGGGTATATACTACAGGTTTCTACTCATCTGAGAACAAAAGGAAAAGAAGATAAGACTTAGGGAGGGAATCAGGTAGTCTACAGGATTAATAATGGACACAGTCCAAACCTCATCGACCCTCACACCAGAACTAGATGGTGTCTGGCTGTTTCGTCAGGGCTACATTAAAAGGGATTCTTATAAAATTCAAATTATTACCAAGTCCAGACTTACAGGACTAGTTGAGACTAGAGGGCTCTCCAGGACTAATGACCAGCAACACTTCAATCCTTGAACCTAAATTATTCCTTGAGGTAACAGTGG